CTGGATGCGCACGCCAACGGCGCAGACGGTGTCGTCATTGCCGGCACAGGTAACGGCGGCGTACCGAATGGCGGAGAAGAGATTGCCGAAGCGCTGGAGAAGGGGCTTCAAGTGGTTGTTGGAACGCGCAGTCCGCATGGGCCGTCGAGTCCAGCGCGGATACCTTCGTTTGCAAAGTCAGGATTTGTGCATCCTATTCAAGCGCGGATAATGTTGCAGCTGGCGATTGCGAGTGGGATGAATATGAATCAGACGATTGATGTGTTTGAAGGGGGGTTCAGGAAGGCAATTGGACAGCCTTGGAGTACAGGGAGTTGAGGATAGAGATGTGTTTTTAGATCTTGAAGAAAGGACAGCGTTTCCCTAGAACCTATCCGAGTATTCACACCCCTTGATGTTAATAACGCATTCTTTGCCTTCTTCTAAGCCTAAACTGCAATAATATCTGCTTAAATCTGTAGTAATATTGTTAAGGCACCTAGTCTTCCTAACAAACCTAGTACAACACGCATCGACGGCATCCGCATAGTTTGGATTCGTTGATTGAGCTTGAACTGGCTTGACTGGACACCGAGTTGGTAGCGGAGTTGAACTTGCACGTGCTTTGGAAACATTTCTGCGCTGGCTGCAGCGGCACTTGAGTTTCGAAGTTGTGATCGAATCAAGAATCCCATGCGCACATGTTTTGCGCCGCTGCGTTGCGTCGCGACTTCTTCAACGCTGATCTTGATTTCTTTGTGGTTGCATCTTAGAGATATAATCTTAATACGATGTTTGATGGTCAGTTATCATTGGTTGCTTGCGAAGTCACCCCGCAAAGTCACGGGGTCTAGGCAACTGCTGACATGGCATGTAACGGCCCCTAGCTACCTAAATCCGATACCCTCGTTTCTTTTCAACATAGCATACCATCATAGGATGATGAAATTCAGGCTTCTCGTCCGTTTCTTTTCAAAACTGTTTAAGACCACCCGAAAGTCGAGCATAGAACTGTGCAGCGTCTGCTCGGAACTCAATCTAGACCCTCGTCGTCGTGAGGAACAGGTCCTCGGTCTTTTTGACGAGTTGCTGCTCAGATCTCACAGCCTTGGGCCTGGCCGCCTTGGTTGCGGTGGCTGCACCTACTTTGGAGGAGTTCTACAGAGCTCGACTTACTGGAGCGATAGGGTATCTGAATTGAGTGGTCTTCTAGTCGTTTTGACTTGTCATGGTTTGGACACGAGGACAATTGGTGGATCTGGACAGTGTATATATCCTGACCTACTCCTCGAAACGTGCAGCGAAGAAGGACAGATGGGTGTGTAGTAGATCATCAGGAAACGATTGGCACAGATGCTGACATGTCATCCTTCTAGACAGGAAGGCTTTCCTGAATATCGCTTCCAAGCGCTTGATGCCTCCAGACCCCCTTGACGACAGCTGCTTCCGTCTGATCGACTCGTGGATAGACCAGTGCAGAATGCATGGGAAATGCTCTTTGCCAACCTCCGTTACACTTCCAAAGAGGGTCATCGCCATATCAATTGACCCCTCCGAATCACCAAGACTGCGGGTGACCAACAACGAATTAGGTCAATACGTTATTTTGTCCCACTGTTGGGGTAAAAGAGCACTCGTTGCTCTCACACAATCGCTGATCACGCAATATCAAGAAGCTATTCAGGTCGAAGAGCTACCAAGGAGCTTCAAGGACGCTATCGAAATCACGCGAAAATTAGGCTTTCGCTACCTCTGGATTGACGCGCTATGTATCATCCAAGACAACGCTGAGGACTGGGCTCAAGAGGTAGTAAAGATGGCGTCCTATTACGGGCTTAGTGCTCTTATGATCTCTGCTACCGATGCGGAGGATAGCAGTAAAGGGATATTGAATGTACGAGACGCATCTTACTCGCCGTTCCTGGGCAAGAAAAGGAAGTACTGCTTTCAGCAACACTTGTTTCGCTCAGACTGGGAGATACGAGAATCCATATTGGCTACGCGTGGCTGGGCGGCGCAAGAGAGAATGCTGGCACCTCGCATCTTGCACTACACAAAACGGCAGATCATCTGGGAATTCGCAGTGGGGATTATACCTGAAGCTTCGGGACTATATACCCCAAACTCCTTTCAACTTGGATATCAGAAGTCAAAACTCCAACCTCTTGTTACAGAAGCTTTGGATCAAACGTACCCTGCATCCCACGGCTTCAGCATTGCGAACAAGGAGCCGGGAGTTGATCCCAGAGTGGCAACTCTAGATAAGCTCCGTATACGGCACGAATGCGTTAGGGAGTACTCCTCCCGTTCCCTTAGTGTGCCATCTGATAGATTTCACGCTATCGCGGGTGTCGCAAAGATTGTGAACAGCAAAGGTGAACTTGTGACCTACCTGACCAGCCTATGGAGCGCGTATCTAGCATCAAGTCTAGCCTGGAGGCGACTATCAAGTCGACTATCTACACCCGCTATATACACAGCACCTAGCTGGAGTTGGGCCAGTGTAAGAGGCGGCGTGGGCCAATCAGTGTCAGGAGTAGAGATGAACCTACATATGCGTATCGATGAGACAGAAAGTTTTTTGCGGGAACCGTTTCACCTTTTGTTGATTGATGGACAGATAGTACTTCAGGATGAGCGCAATATCTATGGTGCTGTCTTAGAGGGATCATACATCACGGTGGAGGGCTCTTGTGCGACGTACACAGAGTTCGGTCGGCTGTCAAAAGATCTTTTCCAATGCCATCCCCATAATTTGTATTGGTTTTTTGAGAGCAGAACCAACAGGGGCGGCGACACGAGCCTGTCTTATCAGCAAGAAAGGGGGAATGTTGCTCAGGATTATTGGCTCCCAGTCAAGGCAGCCTCTTTGCAACACATCACGGAAGATTTGGCCGCTTATGATTTCTGCATCTTCCTAACAGCAACTGAATGGTACGATCGAATGGGATTCGTGAGCATACTACTGCTCAACTGGGTTGATCGGGAAGCGAAGGTTGCGCAGCGGGCTGGACTAGCGGAGTTATGGTTCGGGGATTTCCCTGATCGAGAGCAGTCTATTCGTAGTTTTCGGGCTTTTGATTGGCAAAGATGGACTGTGAGGCTGATATGAGGCAAACGGAAGGAGGAGTCCTGGACATAGTAGCACTTTGTACGTAGCCGGACGTCCTCGTAACAGCAGTATAGTGGAACAAACCACGCATTGGTTACTTCCCTAAACACACTGTGACAAGCGCTGGTGGATCAAACGAAAGTCGCCGGCCTGCCGATAGTCGAGATATGCTGCATCCTGACCAGGTGAATGGCACAGGATCAACGTAGGAATGAACACTTCGCGCAATGAAGTGCGAACTACCCGGAATCCTATCGATGACGGAACATTCGGCGAAAGACACTTTCTCCTCCTGCTAGTATGTGCCCAGCCGCTGAGGTGAGATCCAGTCGAAGTCTTTAATGTACACGCACCTTAGTAAGAAGTAAAATTTCCAGTGCAGACTAAAAAACAAGAGGAACACTTGATATGAACTTAGCCTGAACTAATCGCGGGATGCTAGCGATTAGTTGGTATCGCGCTTTAATATCTATAGACATTAGATAATAAAACAATAAGGCAACTGTAGGATTGATGTAAAGTGTTAGCTATGAAGATCGCATGTCTAAATTTGACAGCTTTATTTGAACCTTCGTCCGATCAAACAGACCCTTTAACGCCTACACGCCATGGCAACTTGGATTTTCTTACGCACGGGTTCCAATCGTGCGGTATATTCAATGTCCTTCGCACATCGATTGATGAAATGCTCCAATAATTTAAGCGTCGCAAGTCTCGGTGGGGAAGTATGAAGAAGACACGGGGTGTGCGTAAATAGGTGCTCGATGAGATCAAGCACGCCTTCCGGACCTTGCAAATACCAACTGCCATGGAGTAGAAATGAGATAACGGGGACATCATCTCTGGCCACTGCTACCTTCATGGTATGGCTGTTCAAAACGCCATTGAGTCTGCGCTCCAGATATAATGCTTGTTTGTCCCAGCACCCTCGATCGTTTCTCAAAGGGTCGAAACTCCCATCCGAGACATACTTTTTCCATGGGTACCCAAGCACAATAGGCACCCACTTTACGTTATCTTGAGGTCCGTCAAGAGGAAGCCCGCCCCAAAGCTTGCCCGAATGATCCCATGCATCAACGAGAGGTTTCAAATTAGGGTCCAAAGCGCCTTCTGATTTGTACTCTTCTTGTATTAATCGTAACGACTCAATGTCGGGCAGTGATTCAATTATCCGCGGGTATAGAGGAGAGATTGGATCAAAAAGATTTTCCCATTCTTCGTCGTAGATGAGCGCATCTTGAACAGAATGCTGGCAATGATATGGGAGGAATTTGAAACAATACCCCGCGAGCCCACGGACAAATTCGTCTGGGGGATTGGGCGATTGAAAAACCTGAGCGATCAATCTTAACACCTGACGATGGATTTCTTGGTTACGAGACAAAGTCAAGTCGCTATTCGCTCCGTCAAGCAGCCGGGTGACGAAGTCTCTCGCAGAGTCGTGAGCGAAACTCATCCTGTTGCTGTGATCAAAAGTCACGAAGTCGGCGCACAGATCCCGTATGGTCAGCTCAGGAAGGGGTTCGTCCTTGATCCATTCTTCTTTGCTGTCCATTTGCAATGCCTTGGTGAGAACTTCGACCGACAAAGGCTCTCTCCAGCAAAGGACAAAGCGAAAGAGGTCTCGCCTGATGTTTGAATAGGATTTGTAGTCATTTCGATCCCAGAGACGTTGGTATGCGGTCTGAAGTTGCGTAAAATCTCCGTGGTTACTCGAGCCTCGCAATTCTGCAAGAAGTTCATTGGCGTGTTGCACCCTCAGCACCATCTGTTGTCTATTATGTTCAGGCAACAGAATCTGAAGCCAGATCTTGACCCACACAAACCTGAGTCGATCGATCAGCAGAGGGCTTGGGAAGATATTTCCGGTCAACTTACATGCCATTCGCACGATCTAGCAGCAGCTGTCTCATTGTATCACGGAGTTTTTCCTGACCTGGTTGGACTACAGCCAGATTAGTATGTACTTTGAGGTTTGATGAGATCAGAATGGCAGTTCGTACAAAAGACTGGGATGGCCCTTCTCTTCGCCTCAATCACTGGACCTATCTTATCGTCCATGGTCTTGCCGGGGACGGGAGCCCGAGCTTCGATCGCGGCGTCAACGAAAGCTTCCAGGTCTCTCCTTGTATCTTCCGGGTTAACTTTGTATTCAATGAGTAGCGATTCCTCATATTCGCTACTGTCAAGCACGTGTTGGTGGGATGAAAAGACGAAAAACACGTGGCTGTGATCTTTTACAATAGACTTCGTGCTTTCAAGAAACAACTGCCCTTCTTCCGTTTTTTCGAACGCGTCAAGTCCATCCACAAGGATGACAAGCTTCGTCGGTTGATCGGACTTAGCGATGAGCGCAACAAGTAGACTTTTCCAGTCGTCGATAGATGGCTCATCTTCGGGTCCCCGTGTCCATTTGCAGTAGAATTGGTAAGCTTTCGGGGCAATAGAACGGTCTAGTCCCCAAGAGAGCTTCAGAATGAGTGAGCGTATGACTGTCTCGTGATCAGGCCTTAAGCTGCCTCGGGCGGAGCAGAAATAATGGACCACGCGCAGAGACTCTCCTGGAACCGGTATACTCTCGAGTGCTTTCAGGCTGAGCAAGACTCGATGTCTGGGTGGACGTCAGCAGAGTACCCATGCATGTCCAAATGACATACGCGAGAGTGGTTTTTCCCATGCCAAAAGGGCCAGATATCCAAAGTATTCGCGCTGAACTCGGCGCTTGAAATTGCACATCATCGTCACCCTGACGACGCAGAGCCTCAAACCAGGTCTTGTATTGACTCGAATCGAGAAACCACTGCGCGTATTGATTGGATCGACCGTCCGACGTTATCTCTTTTTCGATCTTGCTTAGTGCATCCTCTGGGTCGTCCTTCTTTTTGAACCATTTCAGTGCGGCTGCGCCTTTCTCATCAGCGGCGATTTTGTCATTCATACGCTTCTTTTCTCCATTTAGTTTCTCCCCTACCCTCTTAAGTTCTTTGATCTTCTCATCCCACATAGCAGGGTCGTTTTTTATCATGGCAGCGGCTGGATCGTGATTGTAAGCGAAGTAAATCTTAGCAGTCGTGTTATCGGGATGATTGCTCACCTTTTGCCTTTACTCGATCCGCTTTCGATCCATCTGAGAGCTTATCCAGCGCGTAATGAACGTGGCACATGAGCCGTAATGCCATGATGTAGACATTGGGGAGCTGATTCTTCAAATTCGATACTACGTTCTCGCGTTCTACTTCAAATATCTTTTCAAAGGATATCCAGTCGTTGATAGTATTGGCCGCTTCGAAGTATGCGTCCAGTGCTTTTGATCTGTATTCTGTGTTCGGGCCATTGGCCGCAAGCTGAAAACGTTAGCTACAGTTTTGTCGGCAAGTATCGAAATGTACCTCAGGAATAGCCAAAACTATCGCACAGCAAATGGGAGCAATCTTGTGTGGATCCAGGGCTGCGATTGGCATGACAACGGACCTCACACTGGCCACAGTAGGTAACCATCGTTTAGCTCGACGGACGATCTCGTTGGATTTGGGATCATGCTCGAGATGCTTGGGCAGCGTCCACTCGATGTCGCCGCCTTGAGTCGTTTGCGTTTGTCTGATCCTACTATCGAGGTACTCGTACTCAGTTTTGTTGCTCCTTTCGAACATCGTAAGTGCTTCATGCCACTTCGTGGCATTTCTTGATGTGTGTATGCCTCCCAGGCTGAACGCACGTTCTGAAAACTCTACTGCGCCTTGAGTCAGATCGGATGTCTGCTGTGTGTCGGCGCGACTGGCGTCCCGAAGTATCTGAGATCGGCTATCCTTGTCCTCAGTCAGAGGCGCGGAGGCTGACGCTTGTCGCGCGTGGCTTCCTACGACTGGATCGCCCTCGCCCGAAGTAGGCGGGTGTACATGACGAGAAGCATCCCCAGTGTTGTGAGCTCCTCCCACAGGAGCAAGTGCGTCATTTGGAACACCGTGAGGGATAGCAGAAACCGAGGAGGTGATCACCGGCGTGTTGTTACATGTCGGGAGTGACGTTGACGTATCTGCTGGAATTGAGGTAACCCGCGGTTGACTAGGGCGCGCTGCGAGGGGAGTGTCCGTAGCTGTTTCGGGGCGTAGATGGGCTTCGCGGCGGCGGAAAGGCTTACTGACCGCCCGCTTGCACTTCTCCCACCTGCTAGGCTTGGCAGTAGGATTGGTCATATCCAGAGAGTGCTTTATTCTCACGAATGAGAGAAGTCGCAAGTATCATATACTGGAGAGTGCTTCGCGCAATTGCTCAGAAACAAAAGATGATGGGCTACTGAAGACGCGCGAAGTACGAGGAAGGCGCATAAAAACAATGAGGGGTCAGGACGCAAGGCAATCGCCAAACCTGCATGACAGCCAATACCTCAGCCTTGCCGTGCCACAAAGCCTTCGATGTCATGTCTGGCGTGCTGCGCACCGGTGAGCGATTCTGGAAGTGCGTGTAGCGTGCCGTGTTTGCGTGGAATACCATTTGCAGTAGTTTGACGCGGATGAGCATGTATTAGAGTATGGCTGAGCTGAAGGAGAAGGGCAAATACGACGGAGGTGTACCGCAAGATGAGGAAGGCTGAACGCGAACGATGACGTCATATGTACCACTTATGCCGGCACTCCGCTTGCTCATAATCCATTAACTCATACCGGTCTGGAAATTCTTTATCAAGGTATAAGTATAGGCATATCATGGAAACATACCTTTATTGAGATTGCTGTATAGAGTTACTTAGCCGCGTACTATTGCATTGCTCTATATCAACATTCCACCGTGATAAGTATACATTGTGTTAGGAAGTATGTACCTTTGAAGCTTCAGCAACGTGTATGCAGTACCATGCTACACGAAATCTTGGGAGGGATTCACCTGGGTGTAGATACAGACTACGAGGGTTCTTAAAGACTCGAAGGTTGTCAGATCAATCGCAATGTATCTACCCCGCTTCTTCGTAACCAATGTCACTAGTCATTGTGCTGAATTTGTAGATAGCTAATTATTATAATACGTAACTGTTTCTATACTTACAGATATTTGTCGACTTCTATCCACTTTCTCAATAGAGTTCTTAGTACCTTTCATAGCTGTGCCTCGCTTGGACGACTGACACACTCAACCGTGAACAGATAGCTCACCCGTTCTCTAACCGTGCCAACAGATAAGCTGCACGCCATCGCTAGTATCGCAAGAATGCTAAACAATAGCGGCGAACTTAGAACGTACTTAGGCAGGCTCTAGACCGCGTTCCTACTAGCCACGCTCGACTATATTCAAGCGACAGATTTCCTCTCTTCGCCCCCTGTATATACAGCATCTAGCTGGGGTTAGGCTGGTGTAAAAAGCGGAGTATCTTGTCGTTTCCCAACAGCCAAGCCGGATACTCTACTCCAGCCCGCCTACATCGACATTTATAACAATCAGGCTAGAAAATTTTATTTAAGCCCGACACAACCTTCCGTTCTGCGTTTGAACACCTTGTTCTCCATCTCGGACTACCCATCTCTCACTTCCAACAGCAGTTGTTGCGTAAAAGAGATCAGATGGGTCCCACTTCTGCTTAATCTCGCTCAATCTCGGGTAATACCCACCGTAGAACGAGTCTTGCCAGTCCGGCTCCCCAACGGTGGCTTCATTCAGATAAACACCGCCGCCTTCTGAAACAGGCGTTATATCGCGCCAGGGCTGAAGGATATTCTCTTGGAGGTCTTTGTTCACAAGAGCGAGAGCTTCTGGTGTAGAGTGATCCATTTTCTTGTTCGAAGAAGTGATCAAGAATAAGGCACATTCGCGCCACGCTGGGTTGGCAGCATTGTTGGTGTTTGCGTACTCCTTGGGCGTCTTGTGGTAGCCAAGAAGATGTTTGCCAGAAGAAACATGTTGCTTGATAAGGGCAAAGGTTTGGTTGTACTTCTCTTGGAAGTTACGCCGAGGAACGATGCGATTTGCTGCCATGGTGTTGTCCAAGCCAATCGGGAATGAGTTAGCACCCCAAGTTGCCTGATAGGCAGAGTAGAAGGTATTATGAGCCACTCGCTTATGAGGGGTCGTAAGCGTGATATTGTTCTCTTCGAGGTAGTTGAAGAAAGGTTTGACGGTCTTATCATACGTTTCCGCTGTATGATTTGCTGCAAAAAGGAACCGCATAGTGAGGAACGGCTTGGGCTCATTTCCCATGATAAAGAAGCTGTACATGCCTGACTCTGCCCAGTCGAGGAAGACGTCAAAGAACTTCTTGGTGCCCTTCCAGAAGTCTTCAAGGCTGTTGTTTGAAGCGTCGATTTGCCAGCCAGCAGTAACGACGTTAATCTTGGGATGTGCCCGGATGATAACCGACACTACGACGCCAAAGGTCCCGCCACCACCACCACGGAGTGCCCAGAATAAGTCAGGGTTCGAAGTCTCCGATACTGTGATGAAACGGCCGGCGGCGGTCACAATCTGGAATGCGACAACATGATCGGCTGACATGCCGTAAACACCAGCAAGAGGATTTTGGCCTCCGCCCGTGATCATACCACCAGCATATCCGACGCTCTAGTGAATGTGAGTTGTTTGTGATAGAACGATAGGCCAAGGAACGCTTACCCAGGATATGGCACCAAGAACAGTGACACCATGCTTGTCCGCAGCTTCGTATACCTGCCTGACTCTAACTCCAGCGCCAAGCTTCAACGCCGGTCCAGTATAGCCTGGCCCCTCGTAGTTAGGGAAAAAGTCGATTTGCTCCATGTTATGCATCCATAAGCTCAGCGCTCCGGCACCGGTAGACTTTCCTAGGTAGCAATGACCGGTGTTTTTGATAACTAGGCGAAGATTGGTCGCCCTTGCGAAGTTGATGGCAAGCTGAATCTGCGCTACGTTGGTGACTTTGACTGCATACTCAGGATATCCACCAAGACTACATGACTTGCCGTCAGTGTTGTTCTTTGGCATACATGTCCTACCCTGAAATATGGGCCACATGTCTAGACAAACGATATCAGCAAACGGTTTACATACGCTTATAGAAGTCATTCCATACTTGACGTCGGATCCGCCTCATGGAACAGCGGGTTTGTGAAGTTGTTGGTGATATCCGTGCATTTTGCACTGTCTTTCTTGCCCCATTGCGTATCGTAGCACGGAGCAGCGATGGGTTTGGTCGGAATCAGCGCTCCACCTAAAAGCGCGTTGAAGACCTCCCAGACGAATTCCTGGGGCCACTCCGAGTCACCAGGAAACGTCTTGCAAGATGCTGAGGCTGCACGTCGTACACGCACATCACTCGCAGCGGTGCTGTCGTCAAATGCGAAGTACTCGACATACTCCGAAACCCCCTTCTCGGTTGTGAGACGTTCGATGACTGCGTCAGTCAATTGTAGTCTTTCAGCTTCCTGAAGTGGTGCCCCTGCTGGGGAAGCGGCTGGGACAAAGGCAGCTGCAGGTTCAACATCTGGAAGAGAAGAGGATTGGCCAAGGATAGCCGCCGGGGAAATGAGCAGGAGAAAGCACGTGGCTACCCGATGCATAGACGCCATCGTGAAAGCTACGGGGTGGATACGAGGTGGATGTAAAAAGAGAGCAACGCAGAATGCCTTCTTATTTTATCTTGTTTCTTTAGCCGTTCGATAAACGGTCTTGCAACATTTCTCGCGCGCTCCATGTACATGATTCATGTCTGAGCGCTCTAGATGTTGCCACAGACTGCGCGACGAGCCAGTGAGTGTCAAACGGGGATATAGCAGCGAAGGGATGCAGATCGGATACGCAGGGACTGCATACAGAAGTCGGGCCAAGTCGATGGGCCTGTAAATAGGAAGTGGCACTGGTCTGAAACGAGTAGGTGTGGCTCTGCCTATGCTGAAAATCGCAGAGGCATGGAATGACCTCGCGGCAGTTACAAGCTACACCAGCAGCAACGAGTAGCAGGCAGCATAACAACTGCAAGCCGCTGCAAAATGCCGACTGTGCTACTTGTGCAAGCTGTGCATGCAGGTCTGCGGGCAAATCCATCCGTTTGAAAGCAGCATAGGTGGCTTAGCGTAGGAGGTATAGATGCGTCTCTGGCGTGTTCACATGCAAGACGGCGGCGCAGTGCTTATTGCACAAATTTCTGTCGCTACGCAGATCCTGCCGGATAATCTCAAAGATCTCCATGGCAATGTAAATCTCGACATTACTATCAAAGCTAGTTAGCAACCAGCGGTACGCGTGATAGAAGGGTATGTGTAGAGTAACACAAAAATGAGATGGACTACATATGGAGTCGCGGGTGGCCGCCATCGACATGGGCGGCGGGTGCTGCGGGTGGCGGGCGCAAGAGCCTAGCGGCAGGGTCGGCAAGGTTGGCACGGTCACCTGGGCAACCTGTCGCACCTGCTCTTAACAGCCGCCCTTACTTCTCAACCGACGCTGCCAAGCGCTTGGCAAAAGACCCTCGACTGCACACCCCGCTCGTCCACAGATTTATCATATCCCGAAATCCTACCATGTTGGTCTATTGGCGGAAACAACGTCGTGTATGACTACCAAGCAGGTGGCTCAATGAAGCACTCTTTAGCAACTTTCTTACCGAGATTCGCCACAGAGGTCCGGCATCACCAGCGTATTCATATATGCAACATCCAGCCATTCAAGGAGGAAGAGAGATACCGGATGATAAGAAGTGGAGTGCTCAATATCTGCACTTGCGGTATGAAAGTTCAGATGAGCAATTTGACCTGCTGATCGCGTTGTTGATACGCATGGACATCATCCTTCTAAGTACAAGGGTTGAAGGGACGGACTCTTTGGCCGTCCGCGGCTCGGGGAATTCGGAAGACCACCTTCGCAGGCGAGTTGCTCGAATCAGGGACGCCACACAGGCTCAATGGGATAACTGCTGATGCATGCGGTCTTCGAAGGATTGCGGCGTCGTGAACTCGATCACAGGTGTGAAGCCCAAGAGTGTGATTTGCGCCGAATTCAAATTCATGTGAAAAGTAATGTAATCTGTATCTTACGTTGACGGAATGAACATGCCTCCTGTTATACTTTCCATGATCTCTTTTTGATCACCATAACACCATGGCGGGAACTGGGCTTCAATCATTGAACATCTTCCTTATAGTCTTCCCTTTTGTAGTGTCTGCCACTATCGTGGCCATTAGAACATGGAAGAAAATCAAGGAGCGCCAATTAGCTATCGGTATGGTACAATCCCGCACGAGTCTAGTGAAGTAAAGGCTGACAGCTTACTTTAGAGGACGTACTTCTTATTGTTGCTGAGTGTTTCTTGCTAGTACTGACTGGAGCATTATGGAAATGCAGGTGCTGATCCGGATCACTGATTTCTTTGACTGACATTTCGTAGTGGTTGTAGTCTCTTATACTGGCTACCATGCAGAGGACATCCCCAAAGGGGCTATCAATCACGAACAAGTGCGCATCGTAAGTGTAATAATCCCAAACACTGGGGTAGCTATTGATCTGCTAACAGTCACATTACCAGTGGCGCTACATTAACAACGCGATATACAACCAAATCCTTGGTCTCGTCAAAATCTCGTTCCTGATCACGTTGCTAAAGCTACGCTCAACGAATCGACTCATTATCGCGAGCATATGGACTCTGATTGCCGTGAATATAGCCTTCGTTTTCGCCGCCTTTCTTGCACACATCTTTCGATGCCAGCCTATCCACAAGTACTGGCAGACGGAAGTTCCTGGTCATTGCCATAACAACGCACAATACATCTTCGGTGTGATCGCCGTCACTATTGCCACGGATGTTCTTGTGGCATTGATTCCGGCATGGATACTCTACGATATCCGTATGCCTTCGAAGGTCAAATTAGAAGTCATTGTATTTCTCTCCCTCCCACTTGCAGTTACGGCAATCGGCTGCTATCGACTACATCGCTTTATCCTCGTCTTCAACTTGCCTAAAGGCGCCTCCGAGGACCCTTACAACGTGAGGAACGCACTTACAAGTCTTGAGGGTAATCTTGGTGTGATCGCTGCTTGCGGGCCGACTATCAAATGGATCTTGGTGAGCTACAACAATTACCCCTGCACGTGATTATGGCTAATTTCTCAAATCAAAGGGTCGCTTTATACCCTATTTTGATACAGAGCGTTCCGAGGGAGCTTATGTACCAGAAACGCCGAGATTGTCATCGCTCCCACAACTACGTTCGCACGGCTATGTCGGAAGTCACGATGGCATAGAGCTACAACCCCATGGCAGCGACGGCACATATCCACGTAATGTCCGAAACCCATGTTGGAAAGCCGATAGCGATGCGGATAGTGAAAAGCAGTGCATTTCGGATCCAGCAGGCAAGGATGGCAAAGACATCATGAGGACTACAGTGGTAGAGTGGGAAACTTCGCCGTCGCGCTAAGTTAAACATCGTCTTCCTACTTGTACATGATCAGGCGAGTGGCGTAGAAGAGTAGTGGCGTGTTCTTCAGCATGAGAGGCTATGTGTCATTGTACATGAATGCTGAGTTTGATATCGATTAGAAAACCCTGACCTTCGCCACCACGCGGACTCCTAAGATGCCTTGCTCCTTCCAATCTCTTTCGAAATGTTTCAAGTCTCCACACCTATCACAATGATACCTGAACTTTGTACTGCCGCTATCCTTCGCAACAAAGGAGCTATTCTTCTTATATGACCACTTCCTCTCCTATGCAGTTTGTTCCACTCCATAGCATCAACAAGGCGCAGTAAGATCCACAATGAAGATCTAAAATGATATTGAATGAGCGTTCTTCTTACGGTCCCCGTAGCGTGCACCGCTCCGTCCACGGATCGGCTAACCTACCGATGAAACGATGTCAAGCTCAGGCTTCCGGCCCAGGAACACCAACAACCAGTACGCTTCAGACCCTCTTTCTTCAGAATAAAAGCGATTGAGAGGTTGGAGTAAAGGCTTTCCGAATCCATAGAACTTCATCGCGGTCACACGGCCGAGTGCTTGTTCATCCATCGCATGGCCCGCTACCGCCCACCCATTCGAGACGCCAGAAAGCCACCGACCAAATCGGATGGGGAGCAGAGTAGGCCATGTACTCACCGCGGAACTGAAAAGGCTGGACGTGAACAATAATGAATGACGCCGCATCGACCATCGACGGCCTAGCTATCGTCTTATCACAAATGTGATGCGTGCAGAGCAGGAAACCATAGTGCATGATAACAGATATTTGTAGGTATATACCAGAGTCTTCGCCTAGTATCAATTCCAGAACCCGATCCATAGCCAAATAACAACCACATCTTCTTGCCTCATCGTCTAGCACTTAAACACCGCCGGTCCCGGACTCGTGTACGTCTTGCTCCCAGTGTACAAGTTGTAAAGGATACCCGCGTCGTTTTGCTTGTAAGCCCCTGGGAACGAAACAGTCGCCGGGGTCTTACTCGCCTCACCCCCCGTAACATTAATCTGCGCACACTCCATATAAAACTGCGCGCCCATACTGCTACTCGCGCTGTGCAGCGCAATCAACTCTCCCCTCAAAAGATACTGCCCAGGCGCAATGCACTTTGGAATCGTAATAGTCTGAACACCTTTATTGGCGATAAGACGATCAACACCCCATTTCGAGCCGTCGAACGCGTCTTCAGCGATCTTGAACCAGCCGCCGCCGACGCCGGAGTCGGTTTTGGCGTCGCTGACTTTCTTCATGTAGGCCATTACGGGGCCTTTGTGAGAGGAGTCGATTACGTCCGAGGGGCCGGAGGTGAGGGTGTGGCGCCAGGTTAGGGTGGCGGTGGAGCCGGCTTGGAGGGTTATGACGGTGGAGGTTTTGGCGGTGGGGTTGGGGCCACCGTTGCAGACTATGTCGTTTGTGGAGACATCGTTGATGGGCTGGAGATGTGTTAGTTGGGGTGAGCTATGGGTTGGGGATATGGAGAGCGCACGCCGTCGTATGAGGGGACGCGGACACCATCTCCTACTGCGCCGCCATTGACGCTGACGAAGATTGTATGGGCGGATGCTGAGCTGGCTGCAGCAGCGAGGACAAGTGGGGCGGAGAGCTTCATTGTGATGGTTGTTGCTGATTCTGATGGAGGTGCTTGATGTTTCAATGTTGCCGTAGTCGGGGTACTTATAAACAATGTCTTCGCCCTGACGTTCAAGATCTGAACCCAGACCCAAGGTTTACATATATTGCATGCTTGGTGATATCACATACACATTCCCAGATGCGAACAAGCCTACCTCCTGCACCCCAGATGAGCGGAGCATTTCCTTCGCGTCCACCAACCGCATCGCGAGCCGCCGCGGCAAAGGCCTGAAACCGCAACGCTATACCAGCCAAAACCCGGATGAGAAAGGCCGTATCGCTGGAGTTGCCACGCGATTATATTAAGCAATGTAGAGCGTGTGTCGAATGTTCTTAGAAGTCCTAAGCGAGGTTGTCTTTAGCCAATGGCTTAGCCGTGCGTAAATTGAAGGCGCCAAGCCCCCCGAGGATAGAGTGCCGCCCCATATAAAGAGGCTTGCTTGTGACCTGGTTGACATGTCGGCGCTAGTAGAAAAGTGC